TGAAATGTGAGGTTAACAACCTTAAGCAAGGAGAGAAACCAGTCTTGGTTTACTTCTCTACATTGAAATCTTTGTGGCATGAAATTGACCACCTAGAAACACTTGAGTGGGAAAGCTAGAAGGATGCACAAACTCATAGAAAACAGGTTGAGACTAATAGGGTTTTTGAGTTCCTAATTGGTCTGAATCCTAAGTATGATATTGTGAGATAACAACTACCGACAAGAGACAGTGTGACCCTATCACAAACATACTCCTTAGTGCATCGTGAAGAGACTAGGAGAGGGATATAAAAAAGGAAGACAAGCGGGATCTAGTATGTGAACATTGCAAGAAACCCAAGCATACTAAAGACATCTGTTGGAAGGCTGCACCCTCATTTAGTCCCAACAAAACTCAGGAACAAAAGGGGTAATGCTAATATGGCTGTTAATACTAATTGTACCTCTTCATTGGTTACAAAAGGCACACCTCTAGACACCCTAGCTGCTGTCTTGGCTGCCTGACTCAATTGGAAAAGGAAGTTGGCAATTCAACTCAATCATCTCAGCCGCCATAAGCTCCCATATCAGCTTTTGCTCATTCAGGTACTCGGTCCTCAGCTTATCATGCTTTAGCTCCAGGTAACATTGAACATTGTATGATTGGATTACCATCATTGTTCACTACCTATCACTTATCTTCTGGCAGAGATAAAGTGTCAATTGCTGATGGTTTCCTTGTTCCAATTTCTGGCAAGGGAGACATCAAGTTGTCTAATGCCATCTCCTTATCTTCAGTTCTGCATGTTCCTAAGCCTAATACTAATTTGCTTTTCAGTCAGTAGCATTACAAAACATCAGAATTGTTTAGTAACCTTTTTCCCTGACCAATGTGCTTTTCAGGACTTGGAGACAAGGAAGGTGATTGGGACTGGCCGTGAGACGAATGAGATCTATCTGCTTGGAGAGAGTTCACATTGGGAAGATAGTGAAGATAGGAAGTCTTTTGTTTCTCAGTTTGTTAGTCAGGTTATGCTTTGGCATAATCGGTTGGGTCATTTATCTTTTCGGTCTTTGAAGAGTTTGTTTCCTGATTTATTTGAGTATGTTTAGATGTCCAGTTTGAGATGTGAGAGTTGTGAGCTTGCAAAGCATTGTAGAACATCTTATTCATTGAGTAATAAAAGAAGTAATAATCCTTTTGATATTGTGCATACCGATGTTTGGGGTCCTTACCACATCACTGCTATGGGGGGGGGTACAGATATTTCTTGTTGTTTATTGATGACTATACCCGTTTTTCTTGGGTTTACCTTATGCGTTCTCGAGATGAGGTTCCTACTTTGACCCGGATATTTCATCAGATGATTTTAACCTAATTTGGGATCAAAATCAAAATCTTCAGATCCGATAATGTGAAAGAATACTTTGCCAACCAATTAGCCTCTTATTTGCTTGACCATGGGATTATCCATCAAAGTATTTGTCCTCATACATCATAGTAGAATGGGGTTGCTGAGAAGAAGAACATGCACATATTGGAGGTGGCCAGAAGCATCATGTTTAACTCCAATGTGCCTATTCGTTTATGGGGAGATGCTATTCTTACAGAAGTGTATCTCATTAACCGAGTTCCTTCACAGGTTCTTGACATGAAGTCTCCATTTACTCTCCTATACCCTGATAAAAACTTGTTTACTGCTCCCCTTAAAACCTTTGGTTGTACTTGCTTTGTTCAGATTCTTGGACCTTATCGTTCCAAATTTGATCCTAAGGCCTCCAAATGTATTTTTCTCGATTATGCACAAACTCAAAAGAGATATTGCTGCTATAAACCCACTTTTGGGAGAAGATTTGTCTCTATGGATGTCATTTTTTTCGAGGATGTACCCTATTATCCTAGGGTTTCTCCTCAAGGGGAGAGTAGTGAGTGTGGGGTTAACTCATCAGAAGTTCTTTTACCTGTTCCATTGAGTGATGAGGGATGTAATGGGGAGGGGTGTCAGAGGTGTCGGGATTTGAGAGTCTATCACAGGCGGTGGAGACAGGTTGATTTCGGTCATCAGTAGTCCAAGCCAGACCCAGTTCCTTCTGCGGATCCAGATCCAGGTATTACAGTTCCTTTATCAGATCCAGGTTCTACTGAGATACCTTCCACTGTTGAGCCCTTACCTCCTTTGGATGACCTTGACCTTCCCATTGCAGAGGGTGGAGAGCCCTTACCTCCTTTATCAGATTCAGAATCACAAGATCAGTGTAGAGGGTGGAGAGCCACTTGAAGATAAAGCTATGTTCCAACAGTTTGTTGGAAAACTCCTCTATTTTTGTCTCACACGACCAAACATCAGTTATGCGATTAGCGTTGTCAGTCAGTATATGCACTCTCCTAGGACTACTCACTTGCAGTTGGGAGGATATTATATTAGCATATTTGAAGAGGTGCACAGGTAGATGTATACTATTCAAGAATAATAATCACATGAAGATAGAAGTTTATACAAATGTTGATTGGGCTGGGAGTGTTGATGATAGAAGGTCTACCTCTGGATATTGTGCTTTCTGGTCTCCTGAAGGAGTAAGAAGCAGTGTGTTGTTTCTCGTTCTAGTGCAGAAGCTGAATACAAGTCCATGGCTAATGGTGTGGCTGAAATCCTATGGTTGAAATCACTATTTGAGGAGTTGGGTATTGCTTATGAGAAGTCCTTAATGCTGTATTGTGATAATCAGGCTGCTATTAATATAGCTCATAGTCCGGTACAGCATGATAGAACTAAGCATATTGAAGTAGACCGACATTTTGTCAGAGAAAGGGTTTCATCTCAAGAAGTGTCTTCTGTATATCACCTCTAGCATGTAGCTTGCAGATCTTCTCACCAAGGCGGTTCTAAGGAAGAAGTTAGAGGCAGATCTATGCAAGTTGGGAATGACAAATATCTATTCCCAACTTGAGGTGGAGTGTAGAGAACACTGATGTGGTCCCCACAATGTTCATATGGCAGCAATATTTCTGTTAGATATGACAGTGTTAGTTGGTAGTTATTTCAGCTTTATTATTAGTTATTTCTTATTCTATTTGCCATGTAAGCAATAAGGGCAATTCGACCCTTTTACAGTTATATAAATACTAAGAGTGGATCGGCAGAAATCATTACCTTCCCTCTCTTTTTCTGAAACTCTCTTCGTGTACTTCTCTTCCTTACTTCTCTTCTTATCTTCAAATTTTCATCATTTTTTCTTTTACATTCAAGACTGATCGTAGTTTAGATCGACTACTGGTTGTAATGGGGCCAAGAACATGTGCACGAGAACATCTTCATTCCTCTCTATGGATTTGCTAAACATATAAGGAATCATGAAAGTTGCCTCAAAACACCTACCAGTGTATGAAATGATAAATTGAACAAATTAGTTGTAAATTTAGATCGTATTAGGATATGGAGCTATTTATGGTTTGCATTATTCGTGCATTAGATGTCACTAGTTTCTGCTTACCTTAAAATGACCCTTTTTTTGTGACCTTTTTTTTTCATCTAGATCTCTTTTCAAACACTTGGTCATTCTAAAATATCCTTAACATTATGAAAATTATATTTTTGTTCTCTCTTTTCTTCATGTAATTTTATATGCAAATATGACTCTTTTAACTCTTTTAACTATATTCTAATGTTTATGGCTTGATACCAAGTTTATATGTAATCTTTCTCAGGCACTGTGCTACTCTTGTCAGATAACCGTCGTTCTAATTTTAAGTCAGAAATTAGTGTCTTCTGTGTCAACTAACTGTACTGGATGGGAATGCTTTCCCTATGTTTGAGCTTATTTGAATTTAACACTTTCATTTTTTTTTGGTACAGATAACTGTTTCTAATTCAAATCCTGATATAGTTATGGTTGGTTTCCGTGTACATGTGGGTAATACCTCTGCAAACCATATTCCTTCAGATATTACCATCTTCCAGCGAGTAATTAAACTGGATGAAGGCATGCGTTCTTGGTATGATATTCCATTTACTGTTGCTGAGTCACTCCTTGCTGATGAAGAGTTCACAATCTCTGTTGGTCCAACTTTCAATCGCTCATCTTTGCCCAGAATAGATTCCTTGGAGGTGTATGGACGATCTAAGGATGAATTTGGTTGGAAAGAGAAGATGGATGCAGTGTTGGATATGGAAGCACATGTGCTTCGTTCCAACTCGGGGGTATCAGGGGCTGGGAAGAAGTGTCGTTCTATTCAGTCTGCTCCCATTCAGGAACAAGTTATAGCAGATGAACTGAAGCTTTTGTCTAAGTTTTATTCATTGTGCAAATCACAGGGTTGTTCAGAAATTAAGGATGTAAAACTGGAGCTCAGCAAACTCAAATGCAATCAGTTGCTAGAAACGATATTTGAAAGTGACAGAGAACCATTGTTGCATTCTGCTGCTTGCCATGTTTTGCAGGCTGTTTTCCCAAAGAAGGATATATACTACTATGTAATTGCCTCGCTGTATTTTCTATCTATAACTTGAATTGCTGGTAATTGGATTTTTTGCTTAAATGGTTGATTGGAATTTTGTCATTCAGGTCAAGGACACTATGCGCCTTTATGGGGTATTAAAATCCTCCCCTATGCTTCTATCAAGGCTGGGAGTTGGTGGTGCAACAGCAGGATGGGTAGTTGGAGAATTCACAGCTCAGGTTCGTGCAGTTTCAAAGATTGCATTGCACCGTCGGTCGAACTTGGCTACCTTTTTGGAGATAAATGGTACTCTTATTTATCCTGATCCACCAATTTTGGTTTCCATTTTAATATGCTTCTACTACTTTTGCTACTAATGCTGTTTTAATTCTACGGCGTAAATTAGATTTCTGTGAAGGGCCTGAGTTAGGTTCCCATTCACTTGAATGGATGTGAACCTTGACCAAGTTTCTTCTTTGCTTTGCTGCTTATCCTTGTGCAGGGTGGATCTTTGGTTGCATACATGTCTCCAAAAGCACCTTTAGGTGTAAACGACTGTTAAAAAAGAATGGTTGAAATTTCTGTACTTGGGTGAATGTGGGCATGTAAGGGATTGTACTTGTTTACCCATGGCAATGAGTGTAGATTTTGTCTACTTGGTATAAATATAATTTCACAACATAATTTGCAAGTTGAAGGCATTTGCTCAATGTTAGAAAAGCTTCCTGATAAAATTGTTCATTTCTTTTGGCCCAGTTGGACCATGTTATATTAAACTGTATTATTCTGCCCCTTTCACTCTTTGTCTAGAAGATATCAAGATCATATTAAATATTTATTCAATGATGCATGCCCCTCTTATCTCAAATTATTTACTTCATACTTTACAGTTGATGGGAGTTTTGAAGTTCTCTCTTATTCGCTCTTGGCTTTCCTTCCTTTTCTTGAACTCTTCTATCAGTTGGTCAACAAAACACTTTATTGAATCATTGGCAGCTTATTTACTCTCCATGTTTTGAAATCTAGATTTGATTTATCTTCTATTGCTTCATGGACCATAAGAAAATTTCACTGTTAAAAGCTCTGAGGTTTGTGATATTTATTTATTTATTTTGATATTTTGATTATTAACATTTATTTTATTGATTAGAATGAAGATTGACTGTATATACAAAGATGCCAAGCATCCCCTATATTAGCTGATTATCATCACCTACTCTATGTTCCATCTGTATCCCTTTGTATTGTGCAGTTTGTGTTGCATTACTTGTACCCACAGTCCCACCTGGCGTCAAAACAAGTGTCCTCTACTAATCCCCTTTTTATGATTGGTACCACTAACCCCCTGTTTTGCCACTGTATCAGTCAATTCATTGGCTAATCTATGGAACCAGCTGAGGCTGATAACTAAGTCCTTTATCAATAGTCTTATCTCTCTGATGATATTTATCAATTTCATCTATATTTATTCATTCTTTCGAACAACCTGTATATGCGTATCATAGTTCATGATGCATGTTGGCATTTGGCAGATTGTAACATTTTTGACTTTTCAGTTTTTTTGGTTATGCATGTGAAGATATTTTGGAATTCTATGAATGTGTTAGGGTTATATTTATGTTAAATTTTATGTAAGACAGCACTCAAATGAATTTTTCTTTTGCTGGGTTCTATGGACAGCATTTAACAACATTAATGAATCTTAGAAGAAGACCAGAGATTCTCTATAGCAGCTAGGTCATGTTGTAAAACTATTTCAAATAGAATAAACCTAGAACAGCAGAAGGATTGAATTCTTACGTTAGAATTGGAGTCTGGAGGAATAATATTAAGAAAGGTTCAAAATTTCGTCACATATCGGCCCGTATTGGCCGATACGTATTGTATCAGTAGGTCACCGATGCGCGAAATAAGGGGAGTTTCAGGGTAAGACCTTCAGGGGGTAGCTAGGCTTTTGACCAACCCCCCTGAACATGTTTGTAAAAAAAAAACTAAAAAAAAGTGAAACGTATTGATACAAAGTCTGATGCACCCAATTCGGCTTATCGAACTCTATCGATACAAGATAACTAGTCTCTCTTTCTTTCTCTTGCTAGAATTGGAGTCTCACCAATACTACCACAAGGTCTTTACTTATTTGATGTACTTCTCATTTTTTGTCCTTATGGAAACTTAAGTTGGGGACTGGGGTATTAAAGGTTGACTATGTAAGCTAGGGATTTATGTTTCAGAGCTGGCTTAATCTTAGATTTACAATCTGGCCAAGTAGATCGGAAACAGTCATGTCTAGATGAATCTTATTAAATAGTTACTGAGTTGCTTCTACAAAATCCTTGGTACGGATAACCTAGTTCTCAATGCATCCTTACTATCAAGTTGGCTGTCAAGAACCTAGGTCATAATTGTTATTCTAATTGAGGCTTTACTATTTCATCAAGTACCTAATGGCAGGCCGCAGGTGGCAGTCAGTGCATCATCTGTTTGGAACTAGAACATTGTGCAATTTATTTTTTATTTAATTTCTGCTACACAATTCATTTCATTACTCTCCTGTATAGGTTCTGGTGTGGTGGATGGGCTAATGCAAGTTCTTTGGGGCATTTTGGATATTGAGCAACCTGATACACAAACCATAAACAACATTGTTATACCTTCTGTGGAACTGGTATATAGTTATGCTGAGTGCCTGGCTTTTCATGGAAATGAAGTGGGTGGACGATCTGTTGCACCTGCTGTTGAATTACTCAAGAAACTATTATTTTCACCATATGAAGCTGTTCAGACTTCCAGCAGGTTCTTGTTTCCCCCATATTCCTTTTTCATTTATTCCATCTTATTTAAATTTCGTTATGTGTGATACTGACCTTTTCTCTATTCTATATTTCTTCTTCTTTTCTTTTCTCCATTTTATTTTAGCTTGGCTATATCTTCAAGATTGCTCCAGGTTCCATTTCCAAAGCAGACAATGTTGGCCACGGATGATGTTGTAGATAACTCAGTATCTGCACCTTTAGTTTCTGGTGTAGCCAGTGCAGCAGGTGGGAATACACAGGTCATGATTGAAGAAGATCCTGCGACGTCATCTGTTCAATATTGTTGTGATGGTTGTTCCACTGTTCCTATACTTCGACGCCGTTGGCATTGTACTGTATGCCCAGATTTTGATTTATGCGAAGCATGCTATGAAGTATTGGATGCAGATCGACTTCCTCCACCGCATTCTAGAGATCACCCAATGACTGCAATCCCCATTGAAGTTGAATCGTTAGGTGGAGATGGGAATGAGATTCATTTCTCCATGGATGATTTAAGTGAAGCAAACCTATTGCAGGTCCGAGCTGATGTCAGCATACAGAATTCTCCTCCTTCAATCCACTTATTAGAGCCCAATGAAGCTGCAGAATTTCCTGCATCTGTAACTGACCAGAGGATAGTTTCAATTTCTGCATCCAAAAGGGCTATAAATTCTATGCTTATCTCTGAACTCGTTGAACAGATGAAAGGATGGATGGAAATGACCTCTGGAATCCGAGCAATTCCTGTTATGCAGCTTTTCTATAGACTGTCATCTGCTGTGGGTGGACCTTTTATGGATAGCTCAAAACCTGAGAATTTGGATTTGGAGAAATTTATTAAATGGTTCCTGGATGAGATCAACCTGAATAAGCCTTTTTCTGCAAAGAACCGTTCTTCTTTTGGAGAAGTTTTATATCTTGTTTTTATGTTTTTCACCTTGATGCTCCGAAACTGGCATCAACCTGGTAGCGATAGTTCACTCTCAAAAGCAGGTGCTAATGCAGATGCACAAGATAAAAGTGTTGTACAAACTCCATCCTCAGCTTCTGCTAGTGCTCCATCTTCCACAGATGATCAGGATAAAAATGAGTTTGCTTCCCAACTGCTTCGAGCCTGCTGCTCACTGAGGCAGCAAGCCTTTGTTAATTACTTGATGGATATTTTGCAGCAGCTGGTGCATGTTTTCAAATCCCCAACCTTAAATTCTGAAGCTGGTTCAGGCTTGAATCCTGGTTCAGGATGTGGAGCTTTACTAACAGTTCGTAGAGAGTTACCAGCTGGGAACTTTTCCCCATTCTTTTCAGATTCATATGCAAAAGCACATCGTACAGATTTTTTCATGGACTACCACAGGCTTCTACTAGAGAACACTTTCAGACTTTTGTACAGCCTGATTAGACCAGAAAAGCATGAAAAAGCTGGGGAGAAGGACAAGACTTACAAAACATCATCCATTAAGGATTTGAAGCTAGATGGTTATCAGGATGTTTTCTGCAACTACATCAACAATCCACATACTGCATTTGTACGGAGGTATGCAAGAAGGCTTTTTCTGCACTTATGTGGAAGCAAAACTCATTATTACAATGTCCGCGATTCTTGGCAGTTATCTAGTGAAGTCAAAAAGCTTTACAAACTCATTAATAAATCTGGTGGATTTCAAAATCCTTTTACATATGAGAGGAGTGTTAAGCTAGTGAAGTGCCTATCTGCTATAGCTGAAGTAGCTGCTGCCAGGCCTCGCAATTGGCAGAAGTACTGCTCAAAACATGGCGATGTTCTGCCCTTTTTGATGAATGGAATATTCTTCTTTGGTGAAGAGTCTGTAATTCAGACTCTTAAGCTTTTCAATTGGGCCTTTTATACAGGAAAGGACATTGGCCATTCTGGACTGAAAGCTGAAGGAGATGCAGGAACAAGTGCTAATAAATCAGGTACGCAATCCTTAGATCCAAAAAAGAAGAAAAAAAGTGAGGATGGAACTGAATCTGGTTTGGAGAAGTCATATCTGGATATGGAACAGGCTGTGGACGTCTTTGCTGACAAGGATGGTAGTATCTTGAAGCAATTCATAGATTGTTTTCTACTGGAATGGAATTTAAGTTCTGTTCGAATTGAAGCAAAATGTGTTCTTTATGGTGTTTGGCATCATGGAAAGCAGTCATTCAAGGAGATTATGTTAACTGCCCTCTTGCAAAAAGCGAAAAGCCTGCCTATGTATGGCCAGAATATCATGGAGTATACAGAACTTGTCACTTGGTTGCTAGGGAAGGTGTCAGATAACAGCTCAAAGCTACAAGACACAGAACTCATCAGTCGATGCTTGACCCCTGATATTATGAATTGTATCTTTGAGACGCTTCACTTGCAGAATGAGCTTTTAGCTAATCATCCTAATTCCCGCATATACAACACCTTGAGTGCCTTGGTGGAATTTGATGGGTACTATCTTGAAAGTGAGCCTTGTGTAACTTGCAGCTGTCCAGAGGTTCCTTACAGCAGGATGAAACTTGAAAGTCTGAAATCTGAAACTAAATTCACTGACAACCGTATAATAGTGAAATGCAATGGGAGCTATACCATCCAGACTGTTACAATGAATGTTCATGATGCTCGCAAGTCAAAATCAGTGAAGGTATTAAACCTTTACTACAACAACAGGCCTGTTGCAGACTTGTCAGAGTTGAAGAACAATTGGTCCTTGTGGAAGCGTGCAAAGAGTTGTCATCTTGCTTTTAATCAGACAGAGCTTAAAGTGGACTTTCCTATCCCTATAACTGCATGTAATTTTATGATTGAATTGGACTCTTTTTATGAGAATCTTCAAGCGTCGTCCCTTGAATCATTGCAGTGTCCCCGTTGCAGCAGATCTGTTACTGATAAACATGGCATTTGCAGCAATTGCCACGAAAATGCATATCAATGTAGACAATGCCGGAACATAAACTATGAGAATCTGGATTCTTTTCTTTGTAACGAGTGTGGATACAGCAAGTATGGGCGCTTTGAATTCAACTTCATGGCAAAGCCAAGTTTTTCATTTGATAACATGGAGAATGATGAAGATATGAAGAAAGGGTTGGCAGCTATTGAATCTGAATCTGAAAATGCTCATAGGAGATACCAGCAACTTTTGGGCTTCAAGAAACCCTTGCTTAAGCTTGTTTCTAGCATTGGTGAGAATGAAATGGATTCTCAACAGAAAGACTCTGTGCAGCAAATGATGGTCTCTTTGCCTGGACCTTCATGCAAGATAAACCGTAAGATTGCTCTTCTTGGGGTCCTATATGGTGAGAAGTGCAAGGCAGCTTTTGATTCAGTCAGCAAAAGTGTTCAGACACTGCAAGGGCTTCGTAGGGTTTTGATGAGTTATCTGCATCAGAAACATTCTGATAGTTCAGTGGCTTCATCAAGATTTGCAGTTCCAAGATCTCCAAATAATTGCTATGGGTGTGCTACTACTTTTGTTACACAATGTCTAGAGCTGTTACAAGTTCTATCAAAGCACCCACAATGTAAGAAACAGCTTGTTAATTCTGGCATCCTGACTGAGTTGTTTGAAAACAATATTCATCAGGGCCCTAAAACAGCTCGTGTTCAGGCTAGGACTGTACTATGTGCCTTTTCTGAGGGTGATATAAATGCAGTGGCTGAGTTGAACAGTTTAATACAGAAGAAAGTCATGTATTGCCTTGAACATCATCGATCCATAGACATTGCACTAGCCACCCGCGAGGAGTTGTTATTACTTTCAGAGACGTGTGCTATAGCAGATGAGTTTTGGGAATCAAGGTTACGCGTTGCTTTTCAGTTGTTATTTTCTTCCATCAAATTGGGTGCTAAGCATCCTGCTATATCTGAACATGTTATCCTTCCTTGTCTGAGGATCATATCTCAAGCTTGTACACCTCCAAAGCCTGACACAGCAGACAAAGAGCAGGGAATTGGAAAATCATCTCCAACTACTCAGGTTAAGGATGGCAATAATACAAACTCAGCTGGGTGTTTGAGTGGCCTGGTCAGTGGAAGCAAATCTGAATTGTCAGAGAAGCATTGGGAGGGATCTCAAAAGAGTCAGGATATTCAACTTTTGAGCTATTCTGAATGGGAGAAAGGAGCTTCATATCTGGATTTTGTCAGGAGGCAGTATAGAGTGTCTCAGGCAGTTAAAGGTGCTAGCCAAAGGTCTCGACCTCAGAGGATTGACTACCTAGCTCTCAAGTATGCACTAAGATGGAAACACCATGCTTGTAGAAGGGCCAAGAGTGACATGCCGACATTTGAGTTGGGCTCATGGGTGTCAGAATTGGTACTGAGTGCTTGTTCACAATCTATAAGGTCAGAAATGTGCACACTAATTAGTTTGCTTTGTGGACAGAATTTGGCAAGACAGTTCCAATTATTGAACTTGCTCATATCTTTGCTACCTGCTACTCTATCTGCTGGTGAAAGTGCTGCAGATTATTTTGAATTGCTGTTTAAAATGATAGATTCAGAAGATGCACGGCTGTTCTTGACTGCAAGGGGATGTCTAAGTACAATATGCAGTTTAATTACCCAGGAAGTAAGTAATGTTGAGTCCCAGGAGAGGAGCCTCCATATTGACATATCACAGGGTTTTATCCTTCACAAGCTTATTGAACTCCTTAGCAAATTTCTTGAGGTTCCCAATATCCGATCTAGGTATGATGCTCTTTGTGTTTCCTATTGTTCTCAGTTAATTAGTTCTTATCTTCTAGTTTCTTACCAATATGATATTAATGCCAGATTCATGCAAGATGAATTATTATCTGAAGTCCTTGAGGCTCTTCTTGTCATACGAGGCCTAATAATACAGAAGACGAAGTTAATAAGTGACTGTAATCGACTTCTAAAAGAGCTTCTAGACAGTCTTCTGCTTGAGAGCAGTGAAAACAAGCGGCAATTCATTAGGGCCTGTATTTCTGGATTGCAAATCCATGGAGAGGAGAGAAAAGGACGGACTTCTCTGGTATGGACAAATGGATGAAGTCTTCTGCCATGCTCATTCTCTTTCTGTTTCATATAGCTTCCTTTTTGCATTTTCGCAAATTATCATACTTCTTGCATCATGGCTTCTTATTCTGGAAATGGTGGCTTCTTAGCTTCTATATTTTCAGATTCAGTAATAGGGAAAAGTTAAGAGTCTATCCAATTCCCTGTTCTGATAATATTTTGACCTCTGATGCAGTTTATCTTGGAACAACTATGCAATTTGATCTGTCCTTCAAAGCCAGAGCCTGTTTATCTCTTGGTTTTGAACAAGGCACACACCCAAGAGGAGTTTATCAGGGGATCAATGACTAAGAATCCTTATTCAAGTGCTGAAATTGGACCATTGATGCGTGATGTTAAAAACAAGATTTGCCATCAGCTAGATTTATTGGGTCTTCTTGAGGACGACTATGGCATGGAGTTGCTAGTGGCTGGAAATATTATCTCCCTTGATTTGAGCATCTCTCAAGTTTATGAGCAGGTTTGGAAGAAATCACACACTCAGGCGCAAAGTACCATGAGCAATACTGCTTTGCTATCTTCCAGTGGATTCCCAGCTGCCAGAGATTGTCCACCTATGACAGTGACTTATCGGCTTCAGGTTTGTATGCACTTGAGAGTTATGCTTTTTTATTCTAAATTATTTACTCTTGTTGGTAAGAAAAGAATTATATTGATATTTGAAATTTAAGGGTCTAAATTTCTACCAGTTGGTTCTTGTAGTTGAATGTTGGCATTTTGATCCAATGTTTTCTTCTTAAAAGCTTTTCTTGTTTGGGTTTTACATCATTAAGATGGAGATGGACAATTAGAAATTGTATGTCAAATGTTAAAATTCAATATTTTCTGTGACAGTATTTCTTAGCAATGGTTGTGCATGATAGTATAAGGAGTGGATGCAAGTCTGCTGGCCTTTCATCCCACAAAGAAGATCCACCACAGCTAGCCCTGTTTGTTTTCTTAGAGAGTAAGATAGGGTTTTCCTTCTTAAGAGGGTTTATGTCCTCCAAAAAATGGTTCTATACCTCATCTTTTCCTGTCGTAGTGATTTGAAGGATAAAATTTTTTAGGTTTTTGCAACTCTTTATGAGGAGCATAATCTGATGGTGGAGATGCCCCCACACCGTAGATTTCCCTTTCTCCTTTTGTTTTTCCCTTCTCTTCTTTCTATATCTTCAAAATTCTTATTTTCATTACTGCAACTTCCATTCTGATGTGCTACTGTTATTCTTTGGGCTGCACTGTAACAATAATTCGTTAAATATTGTGCTTCAACCAGGTAAGAAGTTTGTTTTTGGGTCCCTTTCTCTCTAAGGGTGGAAAATTTTTAGCATTCAATGGGCAATAAGACCTATCATTGATAAGACCTACCTTGTGACTCATTCTTGCTGTCATACTTTTATCAAGTACAATGCTATTGCCATCTTTCTTCTTTTATTTGTTTTTTTTTTTTTTTAACTTGGGTTCTTCATCAACAAAATTTGAAGTGGAATTTATCAATAATCAGCATTGTACCATCACCATTATCATCATTAACAGCTTCAACAGAAGCAATTCTAGCTACAGGTTCTATTATCATTATTATCACCACCCACATTGTCATCACACATAGAATTGTGCTTGAGAAAGCCATATTTTGTCAACTTGTAATCAATGTCATCCTTAACTTCATTATTGTAGGAACCACTATTATCACTTTGTTTACCTCATTCTAGTGACCACCCTTAACAATATCTCAACATCATCCTCACCATTACCTGCATACCACCTCCTTCACAATTGTTCTACCATCTTTATTGTCATGCTATCTTTGATATACCTATTTGACTCCATCATCACGATCACTATTATATTCTATAGCATATTGTGATTATTGTTGTCACAACCATCATAACTAGTTCACTATGATTGTTTTTGCCATCATAGTGGTATTACTATGTATCTATAAAGCAATTCACTAAAATTTTCCCATGCTAGGTACTCCAGAAGGTTGTAATTGCAAAAGTTCCAACTTGAGGTTAAGATTTTTATGATTGGAATGTTCCCCAATATTGTGCAAATCTCATTTCCTTTTTGTACATTGCATACAAGAAGGCAGCCAAGCTTTATAAAATTCAAATTTAGACATCTGATTTTGGAATCTAGGGTGCATCTAAATGCATTTGTGGAGTTCAACACTTGTTCATATTTATGGAGTACTTCTATATGCATGCACCTGTATTTGGAAAAATCTTAACATGTAGAATTTGATTGAAAACCATTTTTAATTTATTTTTTTCAATATCTTTTTATTGGCAGGGATTAGATGGTGAAGCAACTGAGCCCATGATTAAAGAATTAGAGGAGGAGAGAGAGGAGTCACAGGATCCTGAGATTGAGTTTGCAATAGCTGGTGCTGTTCGGGAGTATGGAGGCCTGGAAATCATTTTGAGCATGATTCAGGTTGGTTCATTACATTTCACATCAATTTCTCTATTAATTAAGTAATTATATGCTTTGAATGCTTGTTTTTCCCATGTTTTTTATTTTTAGGAGCTGTTGGTTGTGTTAGTTTAGTCAGTTTCCCTTTGTCTGGTTTTCATTGTTCTTTTATGCCGTAGATTTGAGGTGTTCAATGTCCTCATTTTTAACTATTTGGAACTCTTTTTTTAATTTGTTTTTGGTAACCTTCTTATGTGTGCATAATATATAAATCCTTCATTTGACTGAAAAAATTACCTGCTCTTCAGCTCCATCTAGCTTTCCTAGGAAATGGAATCCAAGAACCTGTTTACCAATTTGGGAAAAAAACTCATAACATACTCGGTGTATTTTGAAAATCCAGTGTCATTGTTATGTTTTGTAGGTTGTGATAGTTTCAGTGACAAATTATGCTCTTTTCATTCCAGCCTTCTGTTATTTTCCTTGTATAGAACTAGTCCTTCAATTTGCATGTTTTGAGGTTTAACCAATATAGATATTTATGTAACTTTCTTCTACGTTTAAATTGACAGCGTTTACGGGATGATGAGTTGAAGTCCAACCAAGAGGAGTTGGCTTCAGTGCTTAATCTTCTTATGTATTGTTGTAAGATCAGAGAGAACAGACGGGCCTTGTTATGTTTAGGTGCATTAGGTCTGCTTCTTGAAACAGCAAGGCGTGCCTTCTCAGTGGATGCTATGGAGCCAGCTGAAGGCATTCTTTTAATTGTTGAGAGCCTGACAATGGAAGCAAATGAGAGTGATATTAGCATCACCCAAAGTGTTCTCACTGTGACTAATGAGGAAGCAGGTGCTGGTGAACAAGCCAAGAAGATAGTCCTCATGTTCTTGGAAAGATTATGCCATCCTTCTAGTCTCAAGAAGTCCAACAAGCAGCAGAGGAATACAGAGATGGTGGCAAGGATCTTGCCTTATTTGACTTACGGAGAGACAGCAGCAATGGAGGCACTCATCCAGCATTTTAACCCTTATCTGCAAGACTGGGGTGAATTTGATCGTCTGCAGAAACAGCATCATGACAATCCCAAGGATGAAGACATGGCTCAGCAAGCAGACAAACAGAGGTTTGCAGTGGAGAACTTTGTTAGAGTCTCAGAGTCACTCAAGACAAGCTCTTGTGGGGAGAGATTGAAGGACATTATTTTGGAGAAGGAGATTACTGGTGTTGCTGTGAGGTACTTGAGGGAGAGTTTTGCAGTTGCAGGACAAGCTGGATTCAAGTCAAGTGCAGAATGGGCACAGGGTCTAAAACTGCCATCCATCCCACTTATCTTGTCTATGCTGAGGGGATTGTCAAGGGGGCATTGGCCTACTCAGAGGTGTATAGATGAGGGTGGGATCTTACCATTGCTTCATGCTTTAGAGGGTGTTTCTGGAGAAAATGAGATAGGTGCAAGGGCTGAAAATTTGTTAGACACTCTCTCCAATAAGGAGGGTAACGGGGATGGTTTCCTAGAGGTAACGGTTCAGAAGTTGCGGCATGCTACCAGAGATGAGATGCGCCGTCGAGCTCTGAGGAAGAGAGAAGAGTTGCTTCAGGTGTTTATTAATTCAAACTCTTCACTGCAACATGATCTGCTTGCATGTATAGGCCAGTTAATAGATCTAATGATTTAATCTTCATCCAAAAACAAGTTAATAGATAAAAAACTGATAAAAAAACAAGTTAATAGATTTAATCAATAGCTGATATTTGCTGAGAAAAGGTAACCAATTTCTTGGTAAATACAATAGACATTATGCTATATAACTGGCAATAAAAGGTGTACAAAGATGATTGATTCTTTCTTCAGCGTTTTTGGTAAATATCTAAGGAACACTAGGTAATGATTTTTTTTTCAGATTTTTTACCTTTACTTTTTCTACTCTAGGTTTTCCTCTCAAACTGTAGCAGAAAGCATGAAAATAACCTAAGGTGTGAGCCACAACAGATCACCCATCCTGTGCCGGTTGAATTATAGATTTGCCAATAAATGCATGGATTTTTTTCTCCTTTCTTTGGGTGGGTGGGAATGTGGGTTTAGAGGAGTGGTTGCCATGTGATTGGTTCAAGCCAATTCCAGTGTTTTTCAAAAGGCACATGCGTGGTGCACCTTTCCTGACTTCTACCAAAAAGAAAAAAAAGTGGTGCTAGTGTGCTACTCTTTGCTCAGGCACGTGCCTCACCCTATGCCTTGTGGCTCAAACTTTAGGAAGCCCTTGGACCTTGGTTGTGCTTCTTGCTCCTGAGGTGCTGGTTTATACATCATCAGACTGCAAGCAGATGGCTAGCATATTGCAACTGCTTTTTATGTCTAACCTTTTGTTTTTTTGTTGTTTTTTTTTTATAACTTTGCTGCGTGGGTGTATTTGGCTGACCCCAAACAGGTGACAGAAGGCTCTGGTTGTTCTTTTACTACTGCTCAGTGTTTTAAATGCACAAGGCGCAAGGGTCAATTTGTGCCCTAGGCGCAAGGCACAAAAATACAAAAAAATTGCTAAAAAATAAAAAAACTGTCAGAAAATTCAAAAAGAAAATGTGCAAAAAAATATTAAATATAATATTAATAAGAAATATAAACCTAAATTTTAAAATTAATGTTTTAGAAAACCTATTATCTAAAATTAAAATTCATAAACATAACATGTAAAGCATATTCAAAAGGCGCACGCCTGGGCCAAGGTGCAAGGCGCATCAGGTGTACGCCTTTTGAAAGTGCTGTGCCTAGGACCTGGGTGAGGTGCCTACCCTAAAATGCACCTCGCCTGTGTGCCTACGTGTGCCTGAGGCACGCCTTTTAAATCACTGCTACTGCTGAAAAGGAAAATAAGAGAGAACATTTTCCTTGTTGCATGGATGGAATTTGATTTGCTTTCTTTGCACAGGGGCTTGGTATGAGACAAGAACTTGCTTCTGATGGAGGAGAGCGCATTATTGTTGCACGGCCAACCATCGAAGGCCTGGACGATGTAGAAGAGGAGAAAGATGGGCTAGCATGCATGGTCTGCCGAGAGGGTTACAGTTTGAGGCCCAATGACATTTTGGGTGTTTACTCCTATAGTAAGCGAGTAAACCTTGGAGTTGGCACTTCAGGAAATACTCGTGGTGAATGTGTTTACACAACTGTTAGCCATTTCAACATCATACATTTCCAGTGCCATCAGGAGGCAAAGCGAGCTGATGCTGCTCTGAAGAATCCAAAGAAAGAGTGGGAAGGTGCTACCCTGAGAAACAATGAGACTCTCTGCAACTGCATATTCCCTTTGAAAGGCCCTTCTGTCCCAATGGCACAGTATGTCCGCTGTGTTGACCAGTATTGGGACAATCTCAATGCCCTTGGACGAGCAGATGGGAGCCGGCTTCGATTATTGACTTTTGACATTGTTTTGGTATGGATTATGGAGCATCTTCCTTCTTAACATCTTTCTTTGAATAATTGATTTTAATGTTATGCCTAAGAGCATCTAACATTGCCCATTTGTGTTGAACATTTGCATGTCTTTACTTGGAAGGATCTGAAGGTGGATACACTTCAATTTTTACAGAGTCCAGAACTTGGGTTGTGTAGACAAAGAATAGAAATATGAGTTTGTAAAGGGTATAGGGTGTTTGCAGAGACAAATCCAGGTTCTGAAGGTTACACGTGTCAAGCTGTAGGTCCTAGTTCCACCCCTGGGTTTTTGCTGAACCCTAGTAATAATTTTGGCATGACATTTGTTATTAACACAGCCTACTATGCTTTTATTAACCATTTTTTTCTTCTTTTACTTCCCTCCTAGTTTTTTATACTGGATGGGATAAGCAGTACTTGATTTAGTGGTATTTCAGTTAGGGAGCCGTCTGATAATAGTTGAAGTGTTAGAATTGAATCCTTTGTCTTTTAGTGGATAAGTCATTAATGTGGTTGTGAGCTCCTTAATGGCTAAAACACAAGTTTGAATGTTTTAGTATTTACTTATTTTATCCACTTCGCCCTTGGAATTCTTTGTAGATGTGTCAAACACACAGGATATAAGGATAACTTGACATGTAAAATTTGTTTAATGTAGGATGTGGTAGGTTTAGTATTGAGGGAGGTGGTTGTATATCTGCATTCTTACTGAGTTTCCACTAAGTCTGATACCCTAGTTGTTCAAAGTAGCATGGATATTGGGCAACCACCTATCTTGGTAGGGGTAACAGATCGGTATTGATGGAGTTATGTTAGCTGATTGGTTGAATGTCCTGGGAGGTTCTAAACTACAAAAATAGCTCAAACTTCAGAACACAGGAAATGCATTGAAGTTTCCGTGCATTTACTTGCTAATGCTTAACAAGTATTTGTAGATAAAAGAATTTCTCACTTATTGTTTTACATCTCTGAATTTGTATATTGAAGTCCTTGAAACACCAATAAACTTGAGACTTGAGGGTAAAATTCCTTGAGTCAAAATCCAGTTCTATCGTCCTCTTGAATCAGTAAACTGTCTTCCTGGTGCTGATCTGTACCTATAAAAATAGGAGGAAAAAGTATTGTCTCGTCATTTGAACTCTGCTCACCATTAGGAGAAACCTAATTTTCTCATGTATGTTTTTTTTTGGTTTCATGCAGATGCTGGCCAGATTTGCAACAGGTGCTTCATTCAGCACTGACAGCAAAGGTGGGGGTAGGGAAAGCAATTCTCGCTTCCTTCCTTTCATGATCCAGATGGCATGCCATCTTCTTGATCAAGGAAGCTCCAATCAGCGCCGGACCATGGCAAGGGCCATCTCAACCTATTTGTTCTCTTCATCTGACTCCAAGCCTGCAACTCCATCTGGGACACGTCCATCTGCTGGAACAGAAGAAACTGTGCAGTTCATGATGGTGAACTCTCTGCTTACCGAATCCTATGATTCCTGGTTACATCATCGACGTGCATTCTTGCAGCGTGGCATATATCAAACATACATGCAGCACATCCATGGCAGGTCAACACTCCGTCTCTCTTCTGATCCAACGGCAGTTGTAAGACCAGAATCAAGCAGTAGCAGTAGTGGAAGCCCAGCAAGGGAAGGAGATAACCTGTTCTTCATTATTCAGCCAATACTTGTGTACGCTGGACTGATTGAGCAGTTGCAACGGTTCTTCAAGATCAACAGATCAGGGAATGCTGCTGCCGGTGAAAGTGCAGAAAGAACATCCACTGAAACGGAGGGTGATGATAGCAGCGGTACTTTGGAAGGGTGGGAGATAGTGATGAAGGAAAAATTGGTTAATGTCAGGGAGATGGTTGAATTCTCCAAGGAGCTACTGTCGTGGCTGGAGGATATGACTTCCGCAGCAGATTTCCAGGAGGCGTTGGATGTAATGGGTATGCTGTCTGATGTGCTTTCCAGCGGATTTTCCCGTTGCGAGGACTTTGTGAATGCTGCGATCAACACTGGAAGAAACTGATGGGAATTTTGGATGTATTGTGCTTTCTCCTCAACATTGGTTAATTTGTAATTAGGCAGTATCTCATTTTTACTTTTGGGCTTGGCTTCTCTGCCTTAACTTGCCTTGACATACACCGAGAAGTGATTGTAATTCAGCAATGGCAGTGATAGAATCCATGTTGAGGAAGTCTGCTTCCCCTTTTTTCCTCAATTGCCTCTTGTAGCTGTACATGGGTCAAGTAGGGAATTTCTTTCGAAGACCACACCTGTTTCTGCCATGAAGGAATCAATCTATGGTATCTATGGCAAACGCGCATCATTCAGCAAATAGGAGACGGGATTCCACCACGTATTCTAAATTGTCCCACGGGTAGTTTTTAATCTTCCACCACAGATCATCCTGCTAGTGTTGGTGACCAACTTGCAAAAGCAAAGGTGCCATGTGGCAAGTATTTTTAGGAAGTTCAACAGCTTCGATGGCCAAAAGATATATTTAGCTGAGCTTTTGGGGTCTTGTCTATAAAGACTAAGACTGTTGGGTAAGTATCCTGGTCTACTGGGCTGTTGAATAAAAGATTTTAGGTGCAGAGGGATGAGAGGTTTCGTTTGAAGCTTTCTGATTTTCGGCCATATTGGACTAGCATTAGCTGAGACGTGGGTCTCACTGGTTTTCCATCTTTTATTGCGAAACATAGACTGTTTATTGGTCTAATGATCTTTGGAAAGCCTGGAAAATCTTTCGAAATGGCTTTCCAAATAAGCCCAAAGAAACAGATAAAGGAAAACCTTTTCATCCATCTTTAATAGAGGACCATTGGTTACTGTTTCAAATAATTGGAATCGTGTAATGAGTAATGACGCTTATTTATTGTATCCATCACCATGAAACTGATAGATATTGGTCCTTTTCAATATCATATATAAGGTGTTGACAGTGGAGATAATTGAAGGAAAATATTTGGCTCTTATCCGGTTTGAGGAAATGCATCGGACCAACTGCATTTTACATGTTAATTTTAGCGATTAGGGTTAAAGCTTAGGGGTCTAAGGTTTAGATATGAAAATGAAGAGATGGTTGGACTATGTCCGACCATGATAAGATCTCTGTAAAAGAGCCTCGGGCTCCAAACCAATTTGTTATGCTGTATAAAACAATAAACAAGATATGTAAACACTTGGACTACATATTTCACATGAATGCGCTATTCACACATATACATATAGAATCAAATATTCCCTATACTTTTAATACCCCAAGTTAATAGAAACATATTTAGGAGGAATTTGGCTTTTATGGTACAAATGAAATTATTAATTTCACCTAACTTGAGGCTAAAATATATGCTCTTCCATTTGTAAGAGGCTAGAACCAGGGTTCAGATATGCACCCCACAAGGGGGCACTCCACAATGTCCTACAGCACATTCCCGTTGTGTATTGAAAACATCTCCCGATAATGATATCATCATTTCTGATATTATCATCGGGAGATGTTCTCGATACATGATGGAGATGTGCTGTGGGACGTTGTGGGGCGTAGATATGAATTCCTAAAACCAACCTTAATGAGGTGATGTTTAGTATCTTATAAATCATTGATTTCTCACTTCTCAGATATCAGAGAAATTGTTCGTTCGGTGCCATTGATGCCATGTCACCTGGTGTTTGAGAAATCGGCAATGAATTTGTTTGTTAGTAATTATTAGTAGTGATTTTTTTTTGTGGGAACTATCTCCCTTGTCCACATCAGATGCCATATCATTCAAAAAGAAAAATCTAAATTGGCCTGAAAAGAGGAATCATCGAAAATGGTGATTCCCTTTTTAGATTCAATTTTAATAATTATTTTCTGAACAATTACTGATTTTTCAGAAATCAGTCAACCAAACAGAAAATTCATTAACGATTTTTGAATCGCTGATATGGCTCTACCAAATATCACTTGAGTTACTGAGGAGGTAACTCAATGTATTTCTGAAGAGTGTCTACTCATTAAGCATTTTAGGAGGTAACTCAATGGACAGAAGTTTGCTCTGCTCTTAGATGAAATGGCAAAAGCCACTATTGTGCTAGGCTGGAAAGCCGCCAAATACTTAACCAAACAGTCTTTCAATACTTCAAGTCCAAAGAATTCCTGGACAACATGATGACAAGACAGAAATTTGAATTTAAACCTTATGTTAAAGCAGTGGAATTCAGGGTAAAAGAAAAGCAATCGAATGAAGCAGGTCTGTAGATTGTTCTGTTGAGGGGCTGAAAGCAAAACCCACTTGTGGCTTAGGAGTCTGAGCTAGAGGTAGTGATGTCGGGAATGGACAGGTGCAGAACAGCAGAAGGATCACTTACAAACATTAGGTGATAAAGAATATGCTTCAAATAGAATCTCCCTCCATCTTTGCGAAGTTGAAGAGCTTGTCCAGGAGCTGAATTGGTCTTAGCAATGAAGCTGGGGTGATTCTTGACATAGTTACCCTGAAATGGTTTCTTAAAAAACAAATTTGGATGAATTTTGTTAGAGAATAAAAACAGAGACCTCACTTTATAGCTTAAGTTTTTAGGTTTGAATGTTCCTTGAGGCAGTATCGGAACCTATTTGATCAAGTGGTCAAATGTTCCATCCTCACTGTCTTCATTCCTTCAATATAATTAATTAAGTATAAGGTATGAGTGGGTCTTTGCTTATCCATGCTTCAAGCATGACGGACTTTCGCACAAGGGGGCATTGTTAAACGGCTTAAACTTTTTGGTTGAGAGAGATGATGATGATGATGATGATGATAATGATGAATTTCCTTATCAAACTGATATTAAACATTCAATCCAATAATGCAATGACTTTGAGTTGAGGTCACTTGAAAGCATAGTGACTTCAATGTAGAATTATATTTTTAATTAGTTTGAATTCAATCAGGTGGTGACTGGAACTACGCCAAACTGATAAATACAAAATCCGTGCCGTGACTTTGAGGGTGAAGTGCAATATTAGCATATTCATCCAAATCTTTTAGCCCTATTTCCACTGAATCGGGTTCGAAGAGTTTGAATTTTTAACAAATATATACTCGACTCCAAGATCTGTAAACCAATTACCAAGACCTTACTGATTAGAAGCAGGTATGCTATGTACTTAATACTCATTTTCTACTTTTAGGCCCCGCTTGTTTTTTGGTAAGTTATTTATCTGGGTAAATGCAATTATCTGAGTAAATTTTTTTTGGAAAACATTTATCCGGGTAAGTATATTTATCCATCTATAAGGTAATGACCATTTTGGCCATAAAAATCCATTATTAAAAGGAGCATTTTTGTCCCATTCAAGTATTAACAACTTTCCCCCTAGGTGAAAAAGTTATTTGTCCACCTAGGAGATGGATATTACCCAGAAAAATAAACTTTCCTTAATCCCCACATATATCTAAAAAATGAACATGTTATTCTTGATCAGTGAAAACCAAAATCCCATAACTTTTCTCCCTCTCAAAATCAAAAAAGAGAACACCCCTTTAGACCTAAATTGGCTTGTATGAGTTTTGTTTTACACTGGTTTCAAGCCCGGACAAAAGAAGAGAGTTATATTAGGTTAGCAGCTATTATTAAAACTTTTATTAAACTTTCCCCAACATGGATCCTGATATATCTTTTCGTGTTCATATTAAAACATTCTCATAAAAAAAATGATGCATTGCACCCAAACCCAAATGTAGTGCTCTATTGACAAAGAAAACCCAAATGCAGTGTTAAGCAAGAATTTACGCCTTTTGATCCAAGGGATTATATAAACAGTAATCAGGGGTATTCCATCTCCAAACGCCCCAGGTGCAGATGGTATTCAATTAAGTCTCTGTTACAATCAATAGAAGACCTTACCAATCAAATCAAACTGATTGGCACCTTGCGTGCGTGTACCTATAATTATCAAAATGAATATAAGATTAAATAGAATGAATCGGTGAAATATGTAATCGACCCAATATGGTTGGGATAAGATTTAACAAGATGATGATGATTTCCACTTCTAGACCTGGGCACAAAGACAAGAATAGTTATAGAATAACTTGAAGAAACACAGGGCACGGCCACTACTGCTGAAATAATAATCTTGAAAAAAATGAAAAGCTTTAGTATGACTGATGAGAGTGGAGAGTCAGATTCTCAACTGATGGATTGCCATTTAATCACTAAAACTAAAAGCTATGCAGTGAACCCTTCCCTTCCATTTCCATAATTCCATCACATAGATTTTGAATACCTTTATTCCATATTCCTTCTCCTATCAATTCAGATCATACTAAGAACCCACCACCGCCGCCGGCGCTACCGGCTTTCGAGGTAACGGACTAACGGTGCGGGACTGCGGGGGAGATGACGAAAGCGTGGGAAACGTGCCTACTTCATCCCATCTCCCCTATACTCGCTTCCTGAATCCTGACTGACCTAACCTAACCCTAACCCAAGCACAATGTGGCTCCATGTCAACGTCATCGTTACCGACCGACGACGTCGGTCACACAGTGTGTAGTCTAAACTCTATAGTCTATAGAGATGGGCAATTCATTGGGCATTGAACGTCGAAGAGAGAGAGAGAAACAAACAAACCGACTCTCTGCGTCATCTAATCACGTAATGCCACATGGATGAGGAATAAAGACTAAACCATCCTGTCCGGTGGCGACAATGCCACGTGGGGTCAACAACCGCGAAATGGGTCGGTGCGTGACCTGGTCCCCACATGTACCCCTCTCTGTCTCTGTCTCTCTCTTTCTCTCTCCATTCCAACGACACTCGACACACACACACACTAAGGAGTAAGGAGCAAGGACGATGACGATCGCACACCATGCGCCACTCCCCAATTCCAAACACTCCACCTTCTGCTCTGCTCATCCTGCTCTCTTCCTCTTCCTCTTTCTCTTCTTCTCCTTACTTGATGATGACGACGACGACGACGACGTGGCCTATTCACAAACCAACCATGATTTCTGACCATCAACCACTATTCATTCATTGCTTTGAAGATTACAAAAAAAGGAGAAAATGAAACTGCACTACCGGTGCTCAGCGATCATCGGAAATGAGTAGACGAAACTCAACTCTGAAACCCGATTCCTCCCAGTTCATAAGGATGATCAGATGAGGTGATGGAACAGTGCAGAGCGAGAGCGAGAGTGAGAGCTCCTTCCTTCTTTTATTAATTATCTACCATGTATTTCATGATCATGATGATTAATTCTAAACAGTAACTCTATCCAAACAAAAATTCCATAAATAGTAGTCATAACTGGTAATTGGTGACTCCTCCAAATAAAATCAAAGAGGAAACTAAGAAGAAGAGGAAACCAACATGCAAGTTAGTTGCAGACAAACGCCATGACCAAACAAGCCCAAGCAAAAACCACGTAAGCTCTAAAAAAAAGCTAAAATAAAAATTTACACAGATGCACAGTTTCTTTTCACTTTTTAGTTTCTCTCTGTTTTTTCTTTTTCAATTTTTTTTTGGGTTCTCGTGTTTTCCTTCATTTCCTTCGTCCGGTGTTGGCAGTAAAAATGATTTGAGTTTTACGGGAGATAGAGACCCTGATCGTTGTCAGCCCATTGGGTTGAGCCCCAGTAACATTGTTCAACGGAGCTCGACAAATCAAATAAGCTTCCCCCTTGATCAGCACCGCTCGGCCAATCTAACCCCGTTGCCCCCCCTGCTCCTCCTCCACTACTGCTGCCATTTGTCCTGTTGTTCTGCAACCCCGGTAACTCTACAGGGAAAGTCTGATCGATGAACCCTCCAGCCGTTAATTCCTGCATCTTCATCTCCTCCTCCGTGTTCGTCATTTTCTGCTGCTGTTGTGTATGCAACCGAAACGGTGAAACATCCGGGAAATTGAACCCCAGAAGCCCTGGATTTGACCCCGTCATCAGGCTCGTAAAGCTTCCCGTCTCGGTGGCGAAGATACCGCCGTCCGGAGGCGGCTGCTCAAGCGCGTCCAGCATGCAGGTCTCGACGAAATTCGGGCTTGGGTTCTGAGACAAGAACATCCTAGAGTCGGGGAAATTCAGTAATCCTGTGTTACCTGCTGCAGAACTCGAAGAAGAAGGCGCCGACGCTGCCTCCGTAGTTGCCGCCGTCGTCGTCGCCGCTGTAAGACTTGAACTCTCGCTGCTTGAGTGCGAGGCTGTCGTTGCTTTCTTCTCCTTCGGAGGATCTGGGGAGGGCTTGGACTTGGATCGCTTGGTTTTCCGGCAACCTCCACCGACGGGAACATTACGGAGGACACCCCCTTTGGTCCAATACCTTCGACAGCTCTTGCAAAAATGGCGGGGCTGAGAAAGATTATAGTTATTGTAGTAGCAGAATTTGGTATTCAGCGAGTCGCAGCGCGGGCATTTCAAGGCTTGATTCGGGTGCGGACGCAGTCTCCGGTCTCCACCGAAGATACGAACTCCTGCACTCCCCATTGTTCGGAGATCTTGCATTTCAGGTCACTACAAAGAAAACAATACAGTAAGGTTCCGGTAAAAGGCTGGCGAAACACCGGTAACAGAATCCTAAGCTAGGGCATAATTCATCCACCAAACGGTTCTGTAGGAATCTCTTTTGTAGATTTCCGGCGATATTCACGGCAGAAGCTTCTCATTTTCCGGCGATGATACCACTCTCCGTCCCTCCCTCTCTGGTAGCCGAAGCTGCCGAACAACTCTATTTACGACCATATACTCTGACAAATATCCTCTCACATCTCTTCAAGTTTTCTTCGTTCCAAGTTTAATTACTTAAATAACCCTACAAAATTACTCTAAAGACAGAAACATTGGAGTCTCGACTAAATTACCGAAACTGCTCAATGGGAGAAGGTTATTTTTGGTAGTGAATCTGAATGGACAATTGGATGACGGGGGAGATGGGACCCGAGGGAGTAAGCCCCCCCCCCCTCTCTACCATAGTGGGTAGGGAACTGTGTTCAGCGTTGAGGAACTGGGGAGTAGGACGGTGGCAAGTAATGGTCCGTCCATTTTGGACACGTGAACGGCTAGAGGTCTCTAACAAATCTTCTTGTCGGCCATCACCTCGCTGGGTTTCAGTTTTTGAATGGTGGGAGGGCAGCCACGTTGCTGGATTTGGTTGGTGGGTGCCCAATGATTGCTGGCAGTGGAGGTTAACGTACGGTCGATGATCAGAATATTACTGTGCATCGGAGCAACTGTTACTCCAATATATATTTGCGCTGCTACAAATACTGCAAATAGCGGTACAATTACCCGTACTTTATATTTATATATATATATATATATATATATATTTTAGATTAATCACCGGCACCTCCCTGTACTTTGAAGGAATTATGATTTAGTCGATGTCACTTCACCATCGTTAACGCTTTGTTCTCTTCTAAGTTCTAATCGCGCAATGGCAAATTGGCAATGCGCATCTCAATTGTCACTGCAAACCTCTTTGGTCGAACCGGATCTTGACGGGTTTACCTACCCAAAACCAAACTTATAAAAAGCGCCTAAGTAATAAAAATGCATAAAAGCGGACCCGGTAGTAGGTTCGGACCGTTCGGCTGGGATTTGGGATTTTCTCGCATTTCTGTCCGTAACAGTAAACTGTAACAACAACTACAGTACGTGTTAGAAAATTTGTGTGGTTGGGTTCCTTGAATAATGGAGGTCCAACGCCGACGGGTGTTACTTATCGTACAGTTCCTTTACGGTATCCCTACTTGGCTATTCTATTAGGAACTAACTAACTAATACATAGGCACTAAACTACCGAAGGTGTAGCTATTTATTTAGCTAGTAGTACTGTAGACGTGTAGTAGTAGTAGTAGGTGTAGGTGTAGGTGTAAGAAGTATGCAGGGAGTACAGTACAGTAGTCTAACTATGTCTCGGATGAATATAATATCATATAAACGAACCGTAGTCCGTAGATGTTGAAACGTGGCAGGCTGCTGTGCTGGGTCCATGATTATGAAACAGTATCCTATGGAGTTGCCATTCTATACCAACTTAATTAAATAGTGACCTTTCACTGTATATATAAGGCAAGGCAGTATTGTATGTTACTCATGATAACTGTTTGTTTGTGGGTCACGGCTCTCTCTCATCCATTCGATAGTGACTATTCAGTATTCACAATCCCCCCCTTTCCCTCCCAAATTCCCAAATTAGAGATTCTGTTGGGGGAACAAGCTTTTCTTGTATTGACCCAAAAGTGAAAATTTATTAGGTGGGATAAATGAAGACCCACCTATATTTTTTTGTTCTGTGGTGGGTTTTTTTTGGTGAAATCATCTAATGTCTTAATTTGTCAATGATCCTTAATCTTAAATCAAATTAAATGAGTTGGTTTGTTTCAACCCAAGTCCGTCTTGATTCATTGATTCTATTTAACTCAACGGTTGGATCAAATTAAATGAGTTGCTTTTGGTTGGATCAATTTAATGTCCGTCATATTTAACTGAACGGTTGGACCGGATCATGTCACACTTAGGGTGTTAACGGTATTAAAAAAATCTGATTTTAAACTTGAAATTTGGCATAATTGAATCAAATTCAGATAATTCGAATACTAATCGATCGGAATTCAGATATGACCTGATCCAATTCGATAAATATTCGATTTTGATCAATTCTTTAATTCTTATATATAATATATACAATATTTAAATGTTTTTATATAATTTATATATATATATATATATATATAATTAAATTATATAAATAATTTACATATTTATATACTATATATAAACAAAATATTTATTAATTACCTAAAATAATTAATTGGTCAAATTCAAATGTTAATTTTCAATATTTGCTAAATATCAAATCAAATTTTCTAATAAAATTTCGAATTCGGTTTCGATCCATTTACACCCCTAGACCCTAGTCACACTTGAGCTATTTTGAGTTAGGCATGGCATGGGGTGAACCATATATCTATACAAAATACAACCCTACTCAAAATTAATTATAACAATTTATTATAAGTTGAATTAATTATAATGCTGGTTATTAGTAGTTTGAGTTAATAATTATTTCCAATTAGGGATGGTAATCTTTTCTATCCCCGTCGGGTATTTGGCTCACCCAACCGACCCATTAGAGTCGAGGGTGGTGATTACCTAGGCAAAAATGGGAGCAAGGACAAGGATTGATAATGATACCTGATCGAAGATGGGAGTGAACTTCCCATCCCACCCCGATCCCGATTATATAAATATATTTAAAGTATTTTTAAGTAAAATTATTTTTTAAAAATAATTATAATTTAAAAATTTGGGAACTTGGATCCTTGACAAAAAACCTATCTCCATTGGGGATTAGGGATTGAGGATCATTTTTATCCTGGACAAGAATTAGGGTCGAAGAACGAAAAATTAATATGAACTCTACCCCAAACCCACCCAGTTGGCATTCTTATTTCTAGTAATCAAATATGAGCTAATGCATTAATTAGGGATCGGAAATTAATTTCAATAGTTAATTATGAGTTGATGAGTTGTTTATTGAATTTAAATGAGAGAGAGTCCGCATATGGGTGTTATGAAACTGATATTCCGATGGTGCAACAGGCATCGATGGGACTGCTGCGGGTTTAGTTCTTCGGAGCCATACCGGTAACTTAAATCTATGGGCGTACTGTTCGTTTACCTCCTCTCTCCATACCTGAAGGCCGAATTGAAGCTGAAGTTAGAACCCTCATTAGAAGGCCTGAAGTTTATAGTGGAGCTTGGTTTTTTAATCGAGGGAAATACAAAAGTTGTTATTACTTATTACAGCTCTCTGTTGGAGTCTACAGTCACTTCTCTTTGGTGAATTCGTCAGTTCGTGATGGATTGCAGAGCTATTTAAACTCTCTCTCTCGGGTTGCTCAATGGTTTTTATGCCAAGATCAGCCAACAAGACGACGCACATTATAACTTGTTATTATGGTTTTTCTTCTTCTAGATTTCTTATTTGGCCTGTGTGCTTTGAGTTCTTGGAGGTTTGTGTCCATTCTGATAGTTCACTGAGAGCTTCTTAATGAATTTGTCTTATCAGACTTGAAAAAATTGAGAAATAATGAGAAAATGGTTAGGTAACTTAAGCTTGAAATGAATTTGCCTGATCGGGCTTAAAAAATGAGACACAATGGGAATTAATGAGAAAATGGTTAGGCAACTTAAACTTGTATCATTGGTATCCATGTAAACTTGATGAATATCCATAATCCAACCTGACTCATATTAAATTGACCCAATTCATTCCAAACCCACTAAATAAAAAGACGAGTTTGGGTGTGAAAATTGTCACACCTAGTCCCCATGCCCATGGTGAGGCTCAATGGATCACCACCTGTTTTGCTCTTTCACAATAAGGAAAATTACTAATATGGGCACTCAATAATTTTTCACTTGAAATAAAATCTTTACAAAAAATACCCACTAGGTCCTCTTTGTTTTCATCTTCTAACCAACTACTCCTGAATTGGCTTTTTCCTTTTTAGGCATCCAATTGCTTAACTACTCCAAAATTGGGTCTTTAGACATCCAATAGCATTTTATTGATTGTTATTATTACATAGGAGAACTTCATCAAACATTAAGTAATTTTTTGTTTTATTCTTCCCTTCACTTTTGCACTTTTTATGAAGCTTAAAATATATATTTATTTAACTTAATTATTATTTACATTTCTATTTTATACTTATTTTATTTAATTAATCATTTACATATTTGAGTTTTGGATAAAATATAATTCTAAAAGACTGAGCTTCATTCCTAATAACAGGAAGGAAGAATATAAATAAGCATTCTTTTATTTTTTATTCATTATTAATAAAATATTTAACACAAAATTGATTTTTTTGCTAGATTTAGGATTACCAGGTATAAGGGAAATTAATGTCAAGAGATTTTTGTACCATCTTTATGTTAACAGGAAATTGAAATATAGTTTCCTAGTTGGGGCTCATTATGGTTATAGTAATCAGCTGATATAACTCATAATCACAAGGTATGGATTCGTTAGGGTTGTAACCAAGTCGGCTTTAGAATAAAATCTAAATTTCATTGCCATGAATGTACTTTAAATCAAGGTTCAAAATATCGTTATGTATTGGTCTGTATCGGTCGATATGTATTATATCATGGCCTTTTCAATTTGCTCCTATAAGAGGTGTTTCGGGTCAGACCATGGTTCAAAGGGTAACTGGACCTTAAACTGACACTTCTGAATCAGATTCGAAAAAAATAAGAAAAAATATCAAAAACATTGATACAAGCCAATACGCCCTATATCGATATACTTTGAACCTTGCTTTGAACTAGGGTATCCAGGAAACCATGCCAAGCAACATTGGTGATGGGCGAAATAAAAGACTAATATGAGGATGGTTAATCTAGTTCTCTAAGATGAAAAATTTAGCTCAACGAAGCTGGACCAATAGACACGTAGAGGTATAAATTAGGGTGCGTTAGGTTGGGTTGAGGTCAACCTTAGCCTAACTCGGAAGTCTCAGCGCCTAATTCAAATTTGACCCAATCAAAAGTTGAATTAAGATTGGGTTGGTCCAACTTCATCATCTTTCTACTTTTCTACCATCATCTTAAAATCCCATCAAATCTCTCAAATTATCATAGGGTCTGTTTGGTTTATAATCAGAATTTAAATTAGAATCAGAACCGAAATTTTTTGGAATCGGAATGAGAATGGTCTATTCCTATAGTCTGTTTGATTCAGACAAAAATGAGAATGAGAATTGGAA